GTCAAAGCCGCCGGCGCTGCCCTCAGCCGTGATCCCCCTGAAAAAGAAAGCACCGATGGGCTACCAGAGCCACCCACAATACGGTTTGCTTCCCAAGGGACATGGAGAAGTTTGTGGAAATTTGAGAAGGCCCAATTCAAATGGACAAACACACAAACAAACAGACAAACAGACAAACAGACACAAAGACAAACTAGACCACGGTTGGCCCGAAAGCATAACATCGCAAGCGAGGTCGGCCCAACGCTGCAGGATGCGTTCTTTTTCCCTACACGAAGCGTTCGTGAAGCAAGCGCGAGACAGCACAGGGCAAGGTGCTCTGCGCAAACTGGTCGGTGCAAGTTGGTCTGCGCAAGTTGCTCTACGCAAGTTGCACTGTGCAAGTTGCTCGGCGCAAGTTGCTCCGCGCAAGTTGCTCCGTGCAAGTTGGTCCCTGCAAGTGGCTCCCTGCAAGTTGCTCTGTGCAAATTGCTCCGTGCAAGTTGCTCCCTGCAAGTTGCTATGTGCAAGCTGCTCTGTGCAAGTTGCTCTGTGCAAGTTGCTCTGCGTAAGTTGCTCTGCGCAAGTTGCTCTAGGCAAGGCGCTCCGCGCAAACTGGTCGGTGCAAGTTGGTCTGCGCAGCAAGTTGCATCTTGCGACGCCCGCCCGCGGACCAGGGAGGAATCGAACGCGCGACCCGCCGGTCCCGGGAGCAGGCGCGCAAACCACGAGACAACTCCCGAGGCCAGTTCGAACAACAAAAGTCGCAAAAAACCTCGAGTTTTTGCACCTCGACCACGCCAATCCCCGCAGAGGGTCGCGCGGGAATGTCAAAAAACGCAAAAAAAAACACGCCGATCCCCGCAGAGGGTCGCGCGAGCAGGTTAGAAATCGCAAAAAACCATGGGTTTTTGCACCTCGACCACGCCGATCCCCGCAGAGGGTCGATTTTCGTGTAGTGTCGTCGGCACTACCCCGCCGCCCTAAGAAGAGATTTTAACTCCTCGCAAGTCAATTGCACTTGACTCCTTGCACTTGCAACTTGCACTTGACTCCTTGCACTTGCAACTTGCACTTGACTCCATGCGCTTGCTACTTGCACTTGACTCCTTGCACTTGCAACTTGCACTTGACTCCTTGCACTTGCAACTTGCACTTGACTCCATGCACTTACAACTTGCACTTGACTCCATGCACTTGGCTCCTTGCACTTGCAACTTGCACTTAACTCCGTGCACTTGCAACTTGCACTTGACTCCATGCACTTGGCTCCTTGCAACTTGCAATGACTCTCATGACTCCTTGCAATGACTCCTTGCAATGACTCCTTGCAATGCCTCCTTGCAATGACTCCTTGCAATGGCTCCTTGCCATGACTCCTTGCAATGACTCCTTGCAATGACTCCTTGCAATGACTCCTTGCAATGACTCCTTGCCATGACTCCTTGCCATGACTCCTTGCAATGACTCCTTGCAATGACTCCTTGCAATGACTCCTTGCAATGACTCCTTGCCATGACTCCTTGCCATGACACCTTGCAATGACTCCTTGCCATGACTCCTTGCAATGACTCCTTGCAATGACTCCTTGCAATGACTCCTTGCAATGACTTTCATGATGATGATTCCTTGCAATGACACCGTGTAATGACTCTCATGAGAACAACTCAAGTGAACCCAGCGGAAGAACCCTTCGCCATGCTTTCGGGAACAAACAAACGAACAAGCAAGCAAGCAAGCAAGCAAGCAAGCGAAAAAGCATTCAAGAAAAAACAAACAAAGAACCATAAACGCACGCACACACGCACGCACGCGAGCAAGCAAGCAAGAAACAAACAAGCAAAAAAGCAAAGAAACTAACAGAGAGAAAGACAGACAGACAGAAAGAGAGAGAGAGAGAGACAGACAGACAAACAGGCAGACTAACTAACTAACTAACTAACTAACTAACTAACTAACTAACAAGCTAACAAACAAGCTAACTAACTAACTCAAAGCAAGGCAAACAAACAATGACAAACAAACAAACAAATAAACTAACAAACAAAAATGGAATGCAAACAAACAAAGAAATACGACAGCATGCACGCACGCAAGCAAGCAAACCACCAAACAAACACATAGCCAGACAAACAAACAAACAAACAAACAAACATACAAACAAACAAACAAACAAACAAACACAGACAAACAAACACAAAGAAAAAAAGCAAACAAACCGACAGACAGACGGACGGGAACACAGGCAGGCAGGAAGGCAGGCAAACAAGCAGCACGGCAGACAGACAGAAAAGCGAACTGACTAAGTCACTAACTAACTAAGTAGGTAACCAAGTAACGACTTAGCCAACTAGCTAACAAAAACCAAAGCAAAGAAGCAAACAAACAAACAAACAACCCGAAGAGAAAAAACAAACACCCACGAACAAGCAAACAAACAAACAAAAAGCAAGCAACCTCACCATCCAACAAACCAACCAACAAACAATCAAACAAACAAACAAGCAAGCAAGCAAACAAACAAACAAACAAACAAACAAACAGCCAAACAAGCAACCTGACAATCCAACAAACAATCCAACAAACAAGCAAGCAAACAAACAAACAAACAACCAAACAAACAAACAAACAAACATACAAACAAACAACCAAACAAAACAACGAACTACCTAACTACCTAACTACCTAACTACCTAACTACCTAACTACCTAACTACCTAACTACCTAACTACCTACCTAACTAACTAACTAACTAACTAACTAACTAACTAACTATCAACCAACTGAGCAAAAAAAGAAACAAACAAACAAACAAACAAACAAGAAACAAACAACCAAACAAACAGACAAACAAACAAACAACCAAACAAACTGTCAAGAGACGGCAAGGTGACGTCCCGTGGGACGCTATGCACCGAACCCTCAAGCTTCAATACCAACCACGTAGAAAGGTGTATACGGACGATGCCGTTATAGCCGAACCCGTGTAAACGTTGTAAGGAAGAAGGAATGATAGTTACAACAGTAGTCCTGACGAATGCAGCGCAAGCGAAGTGTTTTCGCTCTCAATGCCGATCACGTATGTATGCAGTCACACATCAGATCTTGAACCTCAATTGTGTCTTGAGCCAAATGGCGATCAATGGAACTTGGGAAGCAACACCAACAAGGACCTCAGAACAGCTACCCAATTTCGGCACGGGGCCTATAGGGTTTTAACATCCCCCATTTGGGTCGCATTGTTCATCATGCGGTCCAAACACCACAAAACGTTCCACTGGCCACGGCTTCAACTACGAAATCGTGTCGTGCATTCTTTTACTTGCTATCACTACACCGTTCATTCGCTGTGAAACATGCCGGGTTCGATTGTACGAAAAGTGGAACATTCATCCTCCAATCGAAGCACACATCCATATGCAGGTGTATATAATACACTGTGGCCACTTCACTTGACCGCCAGTGAACATTCCAGCTGCCGCATTTGCGCATCGCTCAGCTGTCATCCATAAATGGGTTGGCCACAAAAGTCCACCAGACGCGCCCGCTTGTGATCGGTCTGCATATCTCCGGCAAAGAAACATCGGTGAGTAATCAATGCAAATCATAGCCATTCCAGATACCATGGACAATGCATAAATAATGAAAAGATATCATCTATAAGGTAATAGTTCCTTCCATGAATATCCAGAGCGTCATAGTCATCGGAATATGTAACCATGTACACATCCATTCAACTTGGATATATGAAATCATATCATAATGTAAAGTCGTTCCATCGCAATGGTGTTGATGAGACGCAAGCAACAGATGGGGACTAACCACATCGTGCCGCAATCAGCATCTTCACTACGCATACCGGTCCCCAATGGACAGTCTGTGAGTGCGTCGACGGAACTCCTCGTCCAAGTTCTTCTGGGCTTCTCGTGCCCGGACACACTTCTTGTTGTAGTCCTCTGGCAACCAGTGCCCTTTCCGAAGGCACCAATCCAGCAGGGGTGTGTCGCATTTGTTCGGGTCGACGGCCGAGAAGATGGCGCTCACGTTGACCGTGTAACCATGTTTGCCAAGGTTCAGGCCATCCCTCACGAATGATATATACTTACAGTTGAAAGCAAGTGCAAAACATCTGAAAATAATATCACCCACCGGGTGCACTCGGTCCTTGACCAGGAGCTTCATTTCTTCCTTGGTGACATCGAGGATTCTTGCTGCAATCCACAGCTTGTAGAAAGTGTATAGTCCCTCGCATTTGTTCACCATCATACGGATATATTCGTCACGCTCCTCAACCGATCGGAAGGCTCTTGTCCGAACATTCTCCGATTGAGAAATCTTCGTTATTGTTGATGGCAAAAGTATACCTTCCTGATCATGCTCAGTGATGTTGGGGTACCTCTTGAAATCATTGTGATAAGGGCAGCCCGGATTCCCTTCGAGTCCGGCATTCATCGTTCTCTCCTCACCACCTTCAAACAACCCCCACATCTTGGACAGCTGGAGTGCGATAAATCCTGCCATGTACTGAGCCTCACGCGGCTCGTCAAGGCAGATCGCCATCCGTTGGGAACTTATAATGTCCCGTGACTTCAGATCGGTGTCGCGGTAATGCCAACCGCCGTCTTCTTCTTCTGACGCATAGCCGGATGTATATCCTTGCGTGTCCATGTCGTCATCTTCTCCCGGCACTTCCTCCGCTTCGTCTTCATCCTCCTGTGCTGCCGCATCGTGGTTAGCTTCTTCCTGTGCACGCCTGGCATCTCCAGAGACGTTGGGGTTTTGGTTGTCCTCCTCGTCCTCGGATTTGATGTGAATGTAGTATCTTCCGATGGAGATCAGTTGTGCCTCGCACTCCAGGCATAAGCAGAAGCAGGTGGGGATCGCGGTCGCACATGATGGACATATCCGGCACCTCAGTCCTTCCCATGTCTCATCATTCAGGATGACGACTTTGCTGACTTCGTCCCGGAACTCGTTGACCTGTGCGTTGAACTCTTCCATCTTGTTGTTTCGATAGAGT